CTCAAAAAAAAAAAAAAAAAAAAAAAAAAAAAAAATGCCTGTGATTCTGATATCAATTCTGATTTCAGCATGGAGTATAAACAACAAATAGGCTTTATCCTTTTCTAAAAAAATGTATCTTTAAATATATTTTGTAGAGATGGGGTATTGCTGGGGTATTGCTGTGTTTCCCAGGTTGATCTTGAACTCCTGGGCTTAGTCGATCCTCCTGCCTCAACCTCCCAAAGTACTGGGATTACAGGCCTGAGCCATCACCTCCCAGCCTCAAATAGGCTTCAGAGTTAAATAGGATTGAATTTAAATATCATTGTGCCCTTTACTATCTGTCTGACCTTAAGTAAGTTACTTAACCTTGGCAAGCTGTTTCTTTATCTGTAAATCACTGACAATAGGATTTCCATTTTAACATTTTGAGAGATTTAAAGAGTAAATATATTTTAAAGGCTTAGCATGGTACTTAGCATGGTGTGGTCAGCAAAAGATGGTTTTTTTGTTTGTTTTTATGGCACAGAAATAATAGTAATGTCTGTTTTGCTTTTTGTTTTTCTGAGATGGAGATCTCACCTTGTCACCCAGGCTAGAGTGCAGTGATGTGATCACAGCTCACTGAAGCCTTGAACTCCTGGGCTCAAGTGATTTCCCTATCTCAGACTCCTAGGTAGCTGGGGATGACAGGCCTGCAACACCATATCTGGCTCATGTTTTTATTCTTTGTAAAGACAAGGTCTTGCTACGTTGCCCAAGCTGGTCTTGAACTACCAGCTTCAAGCCAGCCTCCCACCGTGGCTTCCCAAAGTGGTAGGATTAGAGGCACACGTGCTTGGCCTCTCCTGCTTTTTAACTGGTGACCTTGAACAAGTTAATTGGCTTTTCTGTGCCTCAGTTTTCTCATCTGTAGAAGAGGGAAAATAATTGTGCCTACTTCATAAGGTAACTGTGAGAATTAAATGAGTTCATATGCCAAGTACTTACACAAGTCCCTGACATATAGTGAAGCTCTGTGTATTATTTACCACGTGACATGCAACTAATACAAATTAAACTGCCCTCATAAGTTACTAAATTCTAAACTGCACTGCATACACATCTAAGCACAGTATCAATCCATCATAAAACAAAAGAAATAAGAGAACATTTACCTGTTGATAATGTTTTTCAACTTCTAGGATCCTATCATGTAGAATGTTGAAGAGACGCAAAGATTCCTCTCTTAGTCGATCCTCAAACTTTAACTGAATCAATTGTTTGAGGAACCCAAAATCCACCTGGAGGGATTTCATCATCTAAAAATGGAAAACAGTATCCTTAGCAAACTAATGCAGGAACAAAAACCAAATGCAGCATGTTGTCACTTAGTAAGTGGGAGCGAAAGAACTCATTATTTCAGATGAGAAGAACACACACCCTGCGCCTACTTGAGGGTGATGAGTGAGAGGAGGGGGAGGATTAGGGAAAATAACTAATGGGAACTCGGGTTAGCATCTGAGTGATGAAATAATCTGTACAACAAACCCCTGTGATGTGAGTTCACGTATGTAACAAATCTTCATATGTACCCCTGAACCTAAAAGTTAAAAAAAGAAATATAAACAATTAAAAAAATAAAAATGGAAAAATATACATTATTATAGAGAGCATATCTGTGTAAAAATTCCAGTGCATTCTCTGGTTCTGGACATACAAGCTGGGTTTCTGTTCAGAGGTCTGTCCTGATGTTTACGATGATTGTATGCACTGCAGAATTCCAGTAATTCCATCCTAGGTGGCCAGGCTTTCAAAGTGACGATTAATTTGCCAAACTAAGAAATACTGATGGAGTAAAAGACAAGAGTGTCTTAGCAGTTTCTTCTCACACAGAAGAAAATATCTGTGCTAATGTTGGCCTTCTGTCATATCTCAAAAGGTATAGTTCTCAAGATGTGGACTTCAGATCAGAAAAGATAGGCGAGAATCATCATTTGCTGAGACTCTACTAGCACAAGCATTTAAATACATAACCAGCATGTTGACTAAGAACCATTTGTAATACTCAAAACACAACGTATTTTTATCTACTTCCATCTATTTCAAACGTATTCACTAGGGCTCCCATCTGTAACCTTAACACTTTGGGAGGGTAAGGTGGGTGAATCAGTTGAGCCCAGGAGTTGGAAACCAGCCTGGGCAATATAGTGAGACTCCGTCTCTTCAAAAAATTAAAAGAAGGAAAAACAGAGATCTAAAAATAAATGTATTCTCTAGGTAATCTTCCCCTGCTCTGAATGCAAACTAGAAAATCCCATGACTTTTCTATTTATTCTTGGGAACAGAGTCTCACCATTACTACAAATACAGCCTCAGAGTAGCATTTAGAATATAACTACTGGGTAAGATGGCTCATGCCTGTAATCCCAGCACTTTGGGAGGCCAAAGTAGGCAGATTACCTGAAGTCAGGAATTTGAGACCAACCTGGCCGACATGATGAAACTCCATCTCCACTAAAAACACAGAAAATTAGCCAGGCATGGCAGTGCCCCTGTAATCCCAGCCACTTGGGAGCTTGAACCCAGGAGGTGGAGGTTGTAGTGAGCCAAAATGGCACCACTGCACTCCAGCCTGGGCAACAGAGCAAGACTCCCATCTCAAAAACAAACATATATATATATATATATATGCAGTTAAAATGCTGCCAACTTCATTCATAAGACTTTTCCCTGTACTCCAAGCTGAGGGTAATGAAAAAGAGTGTGATTTTCCCTTGAGCTCTCTCTTCTCACCTCCTCCCCAGCACCCGAGTGGCTGTATCTCCACCAGGAGATATATATGCTTGTATAAAAGGCAGCAGGGATAGAAGAACAAAGATGTTCCTACCTGGTGGGATGTTCCCACCTGCTGGGTGGCTTCCCTATGGTGCTACAGGGCAGGAGAACTAACTCCTCTTCTTCCCTTGGGCACTAATGTAGCTTCTCTAGAGATTCTGACTGCTGGGACCCTCTCCTCTGTAGATATATCTTGACCTAAGCAGATGCTTCTCTACTCTGAGTGGTCACTTGCTACTCCTTCCTCGGGTTCTATGAATCTGGAGTTCACCTCTTTCTTCTCCCTGCTGTTGGGAGGTCCTTCGTTCTTCCAGATCACTGTACTGGGCAGGACCCAAAATGACTCCACACTGGTTTTTTTTCTCTCTCTCAGGGCCACACATGGTTTACAGTAAACAATTACACAACCTTTACCCCAATAACTCTGGAAGTGCAGACTGATCCCAAACAAGCCATTCTGTCTTCTCATCACAGCCCCATTTAGTGTCCTCAAGCATGAATCAAGCACCAGTCTGTTGGGTCTTCTAATAGCAGCAAATACATTCAAGCGCCACTGAAGCCTGTCTTCCTAGCTTTGAGTTGAGGAGGAATGCTTGCGCTGTCCCTCTCCCATAAGAACCATGGCAATAGTTCTCTCTAAAGACGCTGCTTCAGCAGTTTTTTTCTCTACACTTCCTGACCTTCTTTATTGTCCTTGATCTGATTCAAAAGCTGAGTCACTCATCTACTGTGAAACTTTCCCCTTGCAAAATCTGCAAATGGTTTCTAACCCACAGTTAATTTGGAACTTGATGCCTGGTGTACTGGCATCCTGGGAAGAATTTCATTTTAGTGTCCTCAAAATATATAGGAGTTTTATTTTACAGGTGAGAATACCTTTGAGAAGTTAAGTGACAGTGTTTGGGTGGGGGTCCTGGAAGAGAAAAAAAAAAAAAATCAAAAGGGAGAACTCTAAAATCACTGCTAAAAACTTGGAACAAGCGGGGCACAGTGGCTTATGTGTGCAATCCCAGCACTTTGGGAAGCCAAGGAGGAAGGATCACTTGAAGCCAGCAGTTTAAGACCAACCTAAGCAATATAGTGAGACCTGTCTCTACAAAAAATTTAAAAAATAGCCCTGCATGGTGACGCGTATCCTGTAGTCCCAGCTACCTGGGAAGCTGAGGCTGAAGGATCACTTGAGCCTAGGAGTTTGGAGCTGCTGTGAGCTATGATTGTGCTACTGCCCTCCACCCTGGGCAACAGAGGGAGACCCTGTCTCATAAACAAACAAGCAAACAAAACAAAAACTACCTCGGAACAAATCTCTAGCTCATCCCTGAAAGATACATACATGGGGCAGACTGCAAATAGCCCAGCTAACAATAATAGAACAAAACCAAGATTTGGACTGCTAAAAAAAAAGATATAATTTTTTATTCTAATCCAAACATGTTAATTGTGTGCTAAAAAAAAAAAAAAATCTCAACAGCCTTTAGGAGAATATATCAAATCAGGGCATAACACCCACGCTGTCTACAATATAATCCAAATTACTGGATATACAAAAAACAGGAAAATTGTAATTCAGTCTCAAGAAAATAATGATGAAAACCAATTCCAATATTACCAAAATGTCAGAATTGCCAAACGAAGATTTTGGAGCAGTTATTATAACTATGCATGATAAAGAAAAATATGCTGCGATAAATGAAAAAAGAAAGTATCAACAAACAGAAAATTTTGATAAGGAAAACAAAATCCAGAGTTGAAAAATACAATATCTGAAATTAAAACTTCACTGAAAGAACTTAATAGAACAAAGATAGCAGAAAAAACTATGTGAACTTGAAGACGTGTCAAAAAGTAGAAAGAAAAAAGATTTTTAAAATTTTACAAAATAGACACGTTAGGGACTTGTGAGTTAATAATTAGAAGTCTAACATACAAGTAATTGGAATTGCAGAAGGAGAGGATAGAAAAAGTGGGGTAAAACAAATATTTGAAGATACATTTAGCAGCTCCAAGTCTCCCAAATCTGGTAAGACATGCAGATTGTAGATGCTTAATTTATTTATCCAAGCTGGATAAATACATCAAAACCACACCTAGGTACATAATAATCAAGCTGTCGAAAACCAAAGATTAAAAGAAAATGTTGAAAGCAGACAGAAAAGAAACAGCTACATACAGGGTAATAACATTCGGAATGACTAATAATGGTTATTTTCTTAGACACTATTAACGCCTGCAGAGCAATTGTAAAGTGAGGGAAAAAAACACAACTTGTCAACTCGGAATTCTATATTCAATGTAAAAACATTTTAAATAAAGAAAACAGAATTCAGTGCTAAATACCTACAGTAAAGAAAGTGTTTTGGGCTAAAGAGAAATAATATGGGCTGGAAAGCTAGATCTTCCGGAAAAAAATAAAGAGCAAAGGAAATGGTAAACATCTCAGTACATATAAAATATCAGCTTTTCCTCTTATTAGCTTAAAATTTATAGCACTATTTAAAGCAAACACTTTGAGTTTACTATGTATGTATAATAGATAAATACATATGATACCCATAGCATAAAAGACAGGGAGGGTGGTAAACAGTTGCAAGGTTATTGCATTTTACATGAAGTTGTACAATATTATTGCTAAGTACACTATAATCCTTGTTGAGCAAAGGATCAAAAGATCTTTAGAAATAATAAAAATTAAACTCAGAAGTACTGAGATATAGGAAAGAATGATGAGCAAAGAAACTGGTAAATGTGAGCAAATCTTAAAAAGCATTAATTGCATAAAACATTATGAATTGTTAACTGCAAAAATATTAGGAGAAAACAACTGAAATACTTGATAATAATCGTAGAAAAGACAGAAGGACATGATTAGAGATAAAGGTTCTACATTTCTTGTTTTGTTTAGTAGAAATTACAAATTCTAGTCAACTGTTGAATGTTCAAATTTGAGGATAATCATTAAAAGAATAAAGACAAAATAATTATTAGTAGAGGAGAGAAAAGAAACTAAAGAAAAGTTATCAATGGAAAGAAGGGAAGGAGAAAAAAGAGATATAGAAAAAAATAAAGAAAAATTTTAAAAGAAGTTGTCAGGAAAATACAAATTTATCAGTAGTCACAATATTAATAGAATAAAATACCTATTAAAAGAGATTATTAGATTGGATTTTTAAAAACTATATACAATTTATAGGCGATATGTATATATATACACACATATATATGTATATATACGTATATATACATACATATATATGTATATATATATGTGTGTATATGTATGTATATATATACACATATCACCTATAAATTGTATATCGTTTTTAATGTATATATATGTATATGTATATATATGTGTGTATATATACAGATCTGTATATATATACATATACATTACGTATATATATACAGATCTGTATATATACATACGTATACGTTACGTATATATGTACGTACGTATATACGTATATACATACGTATATATATACGTATATATATATATATATATATATATATATAAAAGATACAACACAGAAGTAATGTCAGTGTAGAAATGAGAAAGATTTACCAGGTAAACACTAGCCCAAAGAATGTTGATACAGAAATTAACATTGACCAAAACAGACAATATGGCAAAAGCCTTCATGTAGAAAATATATATAAATCCTACAATTAACAAATACAGATTGTTTTAAATTTCCTGGCCAGGCACGGTGGCTCACGCCTGTAATCCCAGCACTTTGGGAGGTCGAGGGGTGTGTATCACTAGGTCAGGAGTTTGAGACCAGCCTGGGCAACATGGTGAAACCCTGTCTCTACTTAACATACAAAAATTAGTCAGGGGTGGTGGTGCACACCTGTAATTCCAGCTAGTCAGGAGGCTGAGGTAGGAGAATTGCTTGAACCTGGGAGGCAGAGGTTGCGGTGAGCCAAGATTGCACCACTGCACTCCAGCTTGGGTGACAGAGCAAGACTCCATCTCAGAAACAAAAAAAACTACCAAATAATGTGTCTCACAAGGACTATGTTCTCCAACAATAAAGCACTGAATTTAAAAATCAGCCACATAAAAATACTCTAAAAAGCACGTTTGAAAATTTAATAACCTTCTTATTATGCAGATGAATAAATGAAATGAACAAATGAAAAATTTGAGTGTTTAAATTTAAATACTAATAAAAATATTGTATTTCAAAGTTTGTGGAAACTAAAAATGTAGTTAGTGGAAACTGTGTAGTTTTAAATGCCTATAAAAGAGAAGAAGAAAGCCTCAAAATCTACGATCTATAGGCGTTGGTAGCTGTCAGCCCAATCTTCAGTACCATGGTTCTTCCTTACTGATGGAACCATGACATTGTCCAGGGCAGCAACGTGCATAACTAAAATAACTTCTCTGCAGCTCCTTATAGTTCAAGGGGTCATGTGATACAGATACAGCCAATGAAACATAGAGCAAGGGTTTCTATGGAAAGTTTTTGCTTTCCTTAGACAGCTACCACTCATCCCTACTTCTCTCATATTCTCCTTCCTGTATGAAAAGCAGATGGAGGCTGGAAGGGGAGCAGCTATTTTGCTACTGTATCAGAACTAGGGCAACAAGAGCCAGGCACTAATAGTGGAGATGTGAGAAGATAAAATGAATGAACATCACACAGATCAGAGAGCCACTGCACTAACTCTGGATTCTCTAACTCTACACCTCTTGATATTTTATGAAGCCAAGCAGTTGTTTTTTTATAAACATAGAGCTATATGCTATCTTAATTGATACCCATATTCAACTCAAGAAATTAAAAAAAGAAAAACAAGTCAGGCACAGTGGCTCATACCTATAATCCTAGCACTTTTAGAGGCGAGGCAGGAGGATCGCTTAAGCTCAGAAGTTTGAGGCCAGCCTGGGCAACATAGTGAGACCCTACCTCTCCAACAAATTTTAAAAAATAGCCAGGTGTGGTGGCACATGCCTGTAGTTCCAGTTACTTAGGCGGCTGAGGCAGGAGGATCACTTGAGACCAGCAAGCCAAGGATGCAGTGAGCCATGACTCTGCCACTACACCCCACCCTGGGCAAGAGAGTGGACCTTGTCGCATGAAAAAACAAAACAAAACAACAAAAAAGGAAAAACAGAGTAAACACAAAGAAAGGAGAAGGAATTAAATAATAAATATGATAAAATAAATTTGTGAACTAGAAAATAAAGATACAATAGGTTTAATACACCCTAAAATTGGGTGTCTGAAAAAAAACTAATAAAATAGACAACTCTGCCAAGAGTCACTAAGAAAAAAGAAAGAAGATATGTAGACAATATTCAACATTTAAAAGGAATATAACTACAGATATGAGAAATACTTAAAAATAAGAGAATGCAATCAACATTATACCAATAATTTGAAGATTTAACAAAAATACTTTTGCAGCAAACCATAGCATCAAAACTGACCCAGAATATTTAAGACAACAGTAATACATACATAACAAAATAACAATAGTAATAAAAATAAGCATAGTTTTACATGCAAGTTTTAACAACTATTGAAGAAACAGATATTCCCAATCTTATGTGAACTATTCCAGAGAATAGACTAGGAAACATTTCTTATCTTATGAGGATACTGTGACCTTGGTACTAAGATTGAACAACAACAGTATAAGAAAAGAGTATTATAGGATATAGCCTGGACAACATAGCAAGACCCTATCTCTACCAAAACTTTAAAAATTAGCTGGGCAAGGTGGTGCACTCCTGTAATCCTGGCTAGTCAGGAGGCTGCAGTGGAAAAATTGCTTGTGTCCAGGAGTTCAAGGTCACAGTGAGTGATGATTTTCACTGTACTTCAGGGCAACAGAGCAAAACCCTGTCTAAAAAATAAAAAAAAAAAAAGGAAAGAAAAGAAAAGAAAAAATTACAGGGCAATCTCACTTAAAATAGATGAAAATAAATCCTCAATAAAATAGTAGCAAATAATGCAGAAATGCAAAAAGAAATATTATGATCCAGTTGGGTTTATTTCAGGAAGTCAAGGATGGTTTACTATTCAAAAACCAAATTTTACCACATCATCAGATAAAGGAGAAAAGCCATATGACTGCACGATCATCTCAATAAGTCCATGAAAAGTATTCAAAACCAGTCATTCATAATTTTAAAAAAGGGCTTTATTAATTAGAAATAGATGACATCCTTAAGCTGATTTAAAATTTGAATCAGATTTTGGTTCAGCTGTAACAAAAAATCCAAGTAGCCAGGTGTGGTTGGGAATAGCCCGTATTGCCAACACTTTGGGAGGCCAAGGCAGCAGGATCACTCAAGGCCAGGGGTTTGGGACCAGCCTGGGCAACATATTAAGACCCTGTCTCTACAAAAGAAAAAAAAAAAAATTAGCCAGCTGTGGTGGTATACACCTGTAGTCCCAGTTACTAAGTAGGCTGAGGTAGGAGGATCACTCAAGCCCAGGAAGTCGAGGCTGTTGCCACCTATGATACCGTCACTACACTCCAGCCTAGGCGACAGACTGAGACCCTGCCTCAAAAAAAAAAAAAAAAAAAAATCTAAATAACAGAAGCATAAATGAGAAATTAAGTTAATTTATCTCCCTAGAAAGCTACCTAGGCAATCAATGGATAAAATGATCTAAGATTCTTCCATCTTATGACTCTTCTGAAAACTATTTCAGCTTCATGGTCCAAATGGTAGAACCCATGCTCTAGCCAAAGAAGTAAGGAAAGGAAGGAAACGGAAGGAAGGAAGGAAGGAGGGAGGGAGGGAGGGAGGGAGGGAGGGAGGGAGGGAAGGAAGGAAGGAAGGAAGGAAGGGAGGGAGGGAGGGAGGGAGGGAGGGAAGGAGAGGGAGGGAGGGAGGGAGGGAAGGAGAGGGAGGGAGAGAGGGAAGGGGCAGGGAGGGAAGGAGGAGTGAGAGGAGAAGTGACAGAGGGTGCATGTGAACTGTCTCAAAGAAGGTTCCCCAGAGCTGCCACAGACCTTGTCCATCTGACCAGAACATGGTCATTTGGACACACTTAGTTACAAAATAATAAAATTATAAAATGCTTCTGAAAGTATAAAAGGAGACAATAAATTGGCAAATATGTAGGAAAGAGGCATCCTCAAAAGTTACTAGCAGGAGTGTAAATTGGTACAATCCCTATGCAGGGCAATTTGGCAATATCCTTCAAAACGACTAATGCATACATCCTCTGACTCAGAAATTCCACTTTTAAGAATTTACATCACAGATTTACTGGCATATGAGTATGTGCTGTGCAGGATTATTCATCACAGTAAAATATTAGAAATGACCAAAATGTCCATCAATATGGAAAGCTAAATATATGATGTATATTTTGTGATGTAATATACTTGTGAAATAAATAAGAAAACTCTTTTATGTGTCAATATGGAACAACTTCCAAATGTCAAAATAAAATCAAGGTAGACAAGAGTATTTATAGTGGGATGCTACCTCATGTGACAGCTTTATTGATTAGAGTTTTTAATAATAACTCTTGATCTCCAATATACATGCAATACTATATTTCTTTACAATAAAAAAAGATCCAGCCAGGCAAGATGGCTCATGCTTGTGATCCCAGTACTTTGGGAGGCTGAGGTGGGTGGATTGCTTGGGCCCAGGAGTTCAAGACCAGCCTGAAAAACGTGGCAAAATCCCACCTCTACAAAAAATACAAAACAATTAGCTGGGTGCATCTGTAGTCCCAGATACTTGTGAGGCTGAAGTGGGAGGATCACCTGAGCCTTGGAGGTGGAAGCTGCAGTGAGCTATGACCACACCTCTGCACTCCACCCTAGGTGACAGAGTAAGACACTGTCTCAAAAAAAAAAAAAAAAATCAAAATATAACAAAATGTTAACATTTGACAAAGTTGGATGATGGGTTACACAGTTATTCATTATATCATTCTCTACATTTATCTATATGCAAAAATGTTTGATAATTTTTAAAGTATCATAAATAGAAAATGTTCACAGATTTCAAAAGAATTCCAAAGTATCAAAATACTTTACTAAACAAATTAACATATGTAAGCATGACATAAATATAAGTAGTAGCCCATATTAATAATTTTTAAAGCACAACTATTATTCAGCTGTTGCTCAATGATGCTAATATTTTAAAAATCTTAATTTCCTTCTGTCTATGGAAGAAACAGGAAGGCAATTAATGCCAAAAATTATCTCAGAAGTTTCAAATTAAATTCAGATTTACCTGCTCTAACTTTTTTGTAGATGAACTCAACTCTTTTATTGACAATATTTCACTGGAATCGGTTTGAGTAGCATGGTCTGTGTTGAAAAAGCCAATCTTTAAATCATCTGAAATATTAAGTCTGAAAACAAAAGAAATTAAATGTGCTTTATGTCATAGGTATTTTCGCAGAAATAGATGTTAGCGTGTACTCTTTTTTTGCGTAAATCATATCATATTTTAAGCATTCTAAGAGGTTAGTGAGGTGAGGAAAACTCTGAATTAGCTCTGGAGCTAAGGAGGATAATGAGATTCTCCAATTCCCTGGACTGGGGCATACTGCTCTACTGATACTCATCTGATTTCCACTTTTCTAAGACATGATCAATTTATATACCTGCTTTTAATATCTTCTGTACTGTTATTGCCTGTGCTACTGCTGGAAATAATTCTAGATTATTTATGGGCCTATTTAGCAGAAACCCTTTAAGACAGTGGTTCTCAAAGTATGGTTTGAGGACCCCTGGGGTTCTGGGATATTCTTTTAGCATATCAATGAGATCAATCTAATTTTATAATAATATTAAGATTTTATTTGTCTTTTTTACTGTCATTTGCTCACAAATATTCAGTGGAGTTTTCCAGAGGCTATAGATTACACAGAAGCAGCTATGAGAATTGAGCTCTCTTCCATTTAGCCAGGCATGGAAAAGCTTTGCAAAAATGTAACACAGTGACACTCTTCCCATGAAAGGTTTTGTTTTAAAACAACACAGTTTAAAGGTTTTGTTTCAAAACAACACAGTTAGTTTTTCTTTAAAGTAGTCTATTTCCAGCTACTCAAGAGGCTGAGGCAGGAGGATTGTTTGAGCCCAGAAGGTTGAGGCTGCAGTGAGCTTTGAACGTACCACCACACTCCAGCCTAGGCAACAGAGAAAGAACCTGTCTCAGAAAAAAAACAAAATAAATGAAACATGGTATTTATATCAACACACACCTGGTTTATCCTTATTTTAAATGAATCAATTTAAATATATTTTAATTTTCTCCTTTTAAATTTCCAATCTGGCAACTATCAATAGATAGAACCAATATAAACTAAAGCTCTCTGAGGGCGCTGATAATTTTTCAGAATACAGAGAGGTCTTGAAATCAAAATGTTTGAGAATTGCTTCTTTTAAGATGATCACACCACCCTCCTATATTTGATTTTCAAACACTATTCCTAAAAAATCCGAATAAGCCAGGAGCAAGTGTTTGCAACTAATACAGATTTCTAATGACAGGCATCTCAAACAGTATTAAAAAGGCAATTTTCGGATGCACTCTGTCAATTTGATTAAACTTACCACAACTGTTTCTAAAATGTCAGCTAAATAAGAGAACCACAAAAGCCCAAGTAGAATTATCAGACTTCTCAGTGTAGGTGCCAAAGGCAGAATGTCTGTTTCTATCCTGCCTCTTCTGCCGACAAGAGCAGACCCCAATGTGGGGCAGCCCATGGCAACTCCCCTCTTCTTGCATGCGGGCCGAGCCTCAGATTTGTTCCCCACAGAACTCAGATGAAGTTGACCATATCCCCAGTGCCAAGTGTAACTCCAAGCTAGGCTAAGCCCATGAGTTATCCCACTCTCCTTGGCAGTCGATGTCCAGGGATGGGTGTAGAACTCAGGTCTGAAGAGGGAGACTTTAGGAGGGATCAGCTGGAGGCTAGTAAGAAATCTTTCTACACTCCTATAAAGGGGGTGCCAGAGGAGAGGCTTCTTCCTTGACTCTGGACTTTGCCAAGGGTGGAAGTGATGCCAAGAACTAGCACAATCACTCGGTGACCACAAGAGGGGCCGGCCAGGGCATAGATGTCAAAAAAGATAGAAATAGTTTGGCCATGGTGACTCATGCCTATAATCCCAGCACTTTGGGAGGCTGAGGCAGGAAGAGCACTTGAAGTCAGAAGTTTGAGATCAGCCTGGCCAATATGGTGAAACCCCGTGTCTATTAAAAATACAAAAATTAGCTGGGTATGGTGACACATGCCTATAATCCCAGCTAGTCGGGAGGCTGAGACATGAGAATCACTAGAACCCAAGGGGCAGAGGCTGCAGTGAGCTGAGATCACACCACTGCACTCCAGCCTTGGTGACACAGAAAGACTCTGTCTGAAAAACAAAGATGGAAATAAATTTGACTGATGACTTTGCTCAGCCATTGACTCAACAAGTTCTGAAACCTGTCACACCTCGAATCTTCCAGTAATGCCACAGAATAAGTGCACCAATTGTTGGCAGTTTCTGTCAACTGTAGCTGAAAATATCCTCACTGATACTCTCGCTTTGTGACATGAGATAAATTGCTAAACCTTTCTGTGCCTTAGTTTCCTCTTAAAGAAAATAATAGTCCCCATTTCATAGAGTTACTGTGAGAATTTAGTGTGTTAATACTTAGAAGTACTTTGAATAATTCTTGATACACAGTAAGTCCTCAAGAAATGTTACCCATTATTGGTGCTGCAGTGGTGGTTTCTACTGTCAGTACTATGCTCTGAAATGTCACAGTTTTTTCATTGTATTTGGAAAAAACCAAGTTTTTTATATGATAGTTTTTTATATATTTAATTCACATTAAATGGCCTTTCTTAGTTGGGCAGCTGCTAAAGAGTTAGCAGGATGTTCAGGAACTTGGAAGGAACAGATTGACAGATGGGTGTCAAGAGTGTCTGGGAAGAGTTCTGTGGATGAGCCTTTGAAAATGGGCACAGACAGTAAACGTGTTTATGTGGCATCTGAATGCTCACCCAAGGGAATCCACTGCAGAGAAAGCAGTTAAATAATTAGGCAATGACCCTTGAACAAAACGGCCATGGTGTCGGGGATCAAGTTAAACAATGTGGTTTTCCCCTTACCAAGGCTGGCTTGGATACCACAGGTGCTGAGTGCCTAACTAGTCAACAGCAGAGATTAAGACTGAGGTCCCAATATGGCAGCATGAACCAGGGGGAACTGCCAGCCACCTAGCGACAGGTTCATAGCACTGAATCTCGTCCAGCATCCTCACTGGAATACACGTTTCTTTTGGATGTGGATTTGCATTCCCTGACTCGACTGTACCGACCAGAACCTCTAGGCATGAACTTACAGAACACCTTCTGTTCTATAAGTTCACAGTATTCTCACAGCATCAGCTCCCATCAAGAACTTCATTTCACAGCAAAGGACAGGCAACAATGGACTCATGTCCATGGAATTCAGTGATCTTATTATATAACCCATCACCCAGAAGCAGCTGACCTAATAGAAAGGTCAAATAACTTACTGAAGATTCATTTAAGGCCAGGTACAGTGATTCTTGTCCCAGCACTTTGGGAGGCGGAGGTGGGGAGATCACTTGAGCCTAGGAGTTTAAGCCTGGGCAACATAGTAAGACCCTGTCTCTACAAAAAAAAACAACAATGAAATTATCTGGGCATGGTGGCACACACCTGAACAGCCAGCAACATTCAGAAGAAGCAATTCCATGAAAGAATGTTGTTCTGTGTCACAGGATGCAGCATATGCTTTTAAACAGTATATGGTGCCATCTCTCTTACAGCCATATGCCCAAGAATCAAGAGGTGCCTCTCATTCTTATACCAAAATTATAGCTTCCTGTTTCTACAACTTTAGGATCTGCTGATTTGGAAGTCTTAGTTCCCAAGGGAAGAATGTTTCCACCAGAAAACGTGACAGAAATTCTATTGAATTAGATGACACTGATGACCAGTCACTTTGTGGTCCTTACGGTGCTGAAACAAAGGCAGAAAAGGGGGTCACTCTGCTGGGTAAGTGATCAATTCTGAATACTGAGGGGCAATTGGGTTGCTGGTGCACAACGGAGTCAAGGAGAACTCTGTTTGGAACCCAGAGGATTCCTTGGGGCGCCTCTTAGGGTTTCTATGCCCAGTAGTAAAGAAAAATGGAAAAAATGCAGCACTTCCCTGCCCCCAAAAAAGAAAGCAAAACTTTTAGGAACTCAGGACTTCCAAGAATGAAGATTTGGATCTCAAAACCAGGTAAAGGAATTTGACCTGTCTGTACCTTTCAGCAAGTTTCTCAGCCACTGGGCAAGCCATCCCTGCAGACCAGCAGTTGTCACACCCTCTGGCAAGTTTCTCTGCCACCACGCTGTCTCCGAAGAGGTCTTGTCCGAATCTCAGCCTTTGAGGGTGGGTCTTCTAATTCCTTTGTTCCTGCCCTGTTTCCTCTTCCTCAGACCCGGAGGTCATAGCTGCTTTTCGCATTTGCTATCACTGTGTTGCTTAGAGTCTTCTTTCACCACCTTACTGCCTCTTTCTAGTTAAAAATCCTTCTTAATATTTAATAAAGAACAGAAAATAGTCCCTGTTCAAATTACTGTTGAAGTTTCTGCCTTCTGTCTGGACACTGAGTGCTACATCAATATAGTAAATATAAATAGCCACAGGAACTAACTCTGTTTGTGTATAGTCTACACTGCTGCACATTTAACAGGCCTCAATATTCATCTTTCCAGGCTAGAAATGCAATCCTTTACCCTACCCAGTGCTAAGCAGCTCCTTTTTACTATTCAGCAACATTTTTCATTAAGCATGAACACGTATGTTCTTTTCTTCCTTCTCATTTCAAGCAAAAGACTTATTGTGGGTGGTAGGCCTATGGAGTGTGAATAGTTTTTATCAATACATGTTTTTTTCAGGATATGATTTAGAAATTGAAATTATGTTTTAAGTTATTCCTTCTGGTGCCATAATATTACAATAATACTATATGATATTTTAAAATCAGGTCCAGGCTGGTTACGGTGGCTAACACCTGCACTTTGGGAAGCTGAGGCAGGCAGACTGCTTGAGCTTAGGAGTTTGAGACCAGCCTGGGCAGCATGGTGAAACCCCGTCTCTACAAAAATACAAAATACATATTATTAGCTGGGCATGGTAACACACACCTGTGACCCCAGCTAGTTAAGAGGCTGAAGTGAGGATCCCTTGAGCCCAGGAGTTAGAGGTTGCAGTGAGCCGTGGCTGTGACCGTGCCACTGTACTCCAGCCTGGGCGAAAGAGGGGGAGACTCTGTCTTAAAAAAATTATAATAAAATAAAGCCAGGCATGGTGGCTCATGCCTGTAATCCTAGCACTTTGGGAGGCTGACATGGGCAGATCATGAGGTCAGAAGATCGAGACCATCCTGGCTAACACAGTGAAATCCTGTTTCTACTAAAAATACAAAAAAAAATAAAATAAAATAAGATAACTGGGCATGTGGCATGCACCTGTAATCCCAGCTACTCAGGAGGAGAATTGCTTGAACCGAGGAGATGGAGGTTGCAGTGAGCTGAGATAGCACCATTGCACTCCAGCCTGGCTGACAGAGTGAGACTCCTTTTCAAAATAAATAAATAAACAAAAATAAATCAGTAAATAAAATCAGATCCAATCATTCTATAGATACCTCCTCCAGAGTGTCTAAGAATATTATTAGTACACACCTATTGAGTGCCTAACTTGTCCCATGCACTCAAGATACATATATTAAATCTGCATTCTCCCATCCCATAATCCTTCCAATGATCTTAGAAGAGAGATGCTAATTTTTTTTTGTTTTGTTTTGAAGATGTGAAAACTGAGGTTCAATGAAAGTAAATAACTCATCTAAAATCATAAGCCGGAAGTGGCAGATTCTTCTTCTAAATCCCTGATGAGGACAAGCCCATGACTCTACTGTTTCACCAGTTCTAACTTTTTATGTGACTGATTCAAAAAGATCCAGCTCATTCAGAATCTAAGTGAAAGAGGAAGATGTATTATTTGATGTCCCTTCAAATTCCAAACGTCTCTAATTTTGCTAACAACTCCGATGCTTAGAATGGAAATCCACATCACAACAAATTAGCTAAGTGGTTCCTACACAGTCTTTATTTATAGTCTCAGCAATTCTATTTCTGAATAATAAGTTGGTTGTTATGCATAAAACAGAGTTTTGGGAATATAATTACGCTTTTTAAAATAAATTAGATACAAAATTAACATCCTAATTTATTTTGGAAAACAGACCTACGAAAATGTGTTAATAAAATGCAATGACTCTTCTCACTGAATCCTAGAATTGTCCATCCTACCAATGCTTATAATAAATCAGTCAGTGAAGATAGCATTAGGTGTGCTAAACTTTCACTGTGGCATACTTCTCAGTGCTAAATAAGAATACTGCTTCCTTTCTGCTTCCTTTTATTCCTCTTCAACGAACACAGAACTTTGATGTGCCTCATGGCTCATAAACTTCTCTAACTACACTCATTTCCTATCTGATGTCATCAAGACTCTCAGCTTAAGACACCATCTTTGTGCTCATCATTTCCAAACTGATATAGCCAAGCTGAACCTCTCAACTTCAGACTCATATAATCAGCTACCTACTTAATAGCCTAAATGGATGCCTAACAGTCACTGCTGACATAGCATGACCAAAAGTAAGCTTATGGTCATTCCCTTCAGACCTGTTCATCTCATTATCTTCCCCATCTGCGTTAATGGCAATTCCATTCTACCTGTTCATCAAGTCTCTCTGCACCCCCAACCGCCGCTGCCCCACGGTCATCTTCCACAAAGAATACTGTAATAGTCTCCTGTTTCCTCGCTTCTGCCCTTGTCCTCATTTTAGTCTATTACCAAAGCGGCAGAGTTATCCCATTGAAGGATAAATCAAATCCTATCACTCCTCTATACCGATCCCTTCATGACCCCATCTCAAAGTAAAAGCTGAAGTCCTTATGGTGGTCTAAAGTCCCTCACACACTCCAGGCACCCACCCCCTTCCCTCTGACTTCATCTCCACTACTCTCCCTCTCTCTGCTCCAGCCACCCTGGCCTCCTTGCGATTCCTAGAACATCCAGGTACCATCTTTCTACTCAGTGCTCTCTCTGCCTCGAACACCTGGTACCCTGAGAGATCCTTAGAGCTCCCACATTAAGCCTTCAAGTCTTCACCCCAATGTCATTTTCTCAGTGAAGGCTTTCCTGATCACAATATCTAAAATCTGCAGTCCAGGGCAGGTGTGGTGGCTCATTCTTGTAATCCCAGCACTTTGGGAGGCCGAGGCTGGAGGACTGCTTGAGCTCAGGAGTTTGAGACCAGCCTGGGCAACACAGGAAGAACAGGCATTTAAAACAAAAAAACAAAAGCCAGTCACACTGGCATATGCCTGTTGTTTCAGCTACTCAGAAGGCTGAGGTGGAGGAATCGCTTGACTCCAGGAGTTCAAAGCTGCACTGAGCAATGACTGTTCCACTACACTCTAGCCCAGGTGACAGCATGAGACCCTGACTCTAAAAATAAAAATTAAAAAATTAAATCACAACTCCCTCCCTACTTGGTCCTCCCCACACACACACCCATACCCCTCTTCTCTCTCCCTATGCTAAATCTCTTATCACTAACCACTACCTAACTTATTATATAGTTTATTTGTTTATCTAGTTCATCACTGGTTCCTGACTAGGATGCAAACTCCGCAAAGGCAGGGCTTTCATCTGCTTTGTAGACCACTGCTCCTCCATGCATTATCCTGGCATGCTCAGGCCTCAGATGCCAGGATTTTGGTCAACACCCGGGCCTCTCTCATTCACACCCAGGCACCAGCTCAGTCACCCTAGCACTCTGGGTGAAGAGGAATGAATATAGGATCAGTGGTTCTTTTGTTCAGTCAATGAGCACCTGGCACCATCAGTCTGCCCTTGAGCCCAGCAGGTGCATTTTTTTGGGGAGCTACCCCACCATGGAATGCCAAGGAGTCCAGGGCAGGATACCATTCCTATCGGCAAACACTAGACCAGGGTAGACACTGTGTGCCTCTGGTGTTTGCCACGTGCTGCCTCTAACAGGTGCCATTCACAACCACCACTAGACTGACCCATTTTAAGAAACGTACCCATTGAATACCGTGAAACTGGGGAGGCCGAGGCCAGGAGCACTGCCTCACTGGGTCAGTCCCACTGCTGGGCTAGGACACCTGTGGTCCTTTCTTCTCACCCTGGAGCTGCATCTGTGTGAGGGGCTTGCCCCTAAGCCAGCCCACCTGACACCATGAGGCCCCTGCCTTAAACAACTCTAAGTTCTCCCATAGCAACTAAGCTAGTTCTGGCTACCTATTGATTTGAAAAGGTTTTTAGAAAGAAATTTGCATTTTCCCAGGAACATCAGCGCTACATTATCCAAACAAACAACAAAACTAGAACACAAGGGGCAAAGGATTACGAAAGGGAAGGGCTATAAACAAGGACCAAGGAATAGCAAATAATGACTTTAACAGACACTTCCATGATTCTGCGTGGTCTGTGTGTTTGTGTCTCCTGAAAATTCAGGTTGAAATCCTAACCCCCAAGATGACAATACTAGCAGCTGTGGACTCTGGAGGTGATTAGGTCATGAAAGTGGAGCCCTATAAATGGGATAAGTGCCCTTCTAAAAGTAGGGTGGGAGCAGGTGTGGGGATAGTGGAACACGCCCTTGCCCTTCCGCCATATGATGACACAGCCAGGAGGTACTGTATGTACAGAAGGGACTCTCATCAGACTCGGAATCTGCAGGGGGCTTCCCAGCCTCCAGAACTGGGAGAAACAAATTCCTGTTGCTCATAAGCCACCCCGCCTATGCTGTTTTGTTACAGCAGCCCAAGGGGACTAAGACGGGTACTGTGCCCTAGATTAGCTCATTTAATATTCACTAGGATCTATGAAACAGGCACTGGGTGATTTCCTGTTGAGGAAAGTGAGGCACAGAGAGGTCAGTAGCCTAATTCACAGCCCTGTGAGAGATTGGCCAAGATTCGTAACCTGGGCAGTCTGGCTCCAGAGTCCGTGCTCTTAGTGAAAACTGCAGCTCTTTTCGGACAGTGGTTCCCTCGAAAAACAAAAAAACTGAAGCCCAGAGGCTGGAGCCAAGGGCCCGGAAAGGCAAGGAGCTAGGGCTGGCGCGCAAGGGCTGGGGGCGGACCGGCGGGGGCTGCCTCTCCTGCGGGTCACCTGGGGTTGAACTGGAATTGTTCAATAGCGGCCTCGAGGCCCTGGAGGATCTTCCGGCACTCCTCGGTCTCAGGCGTGTCGCCCCAGCTCGCCATCGCTGCTCGAGACGCGCGCCCCCTGCAGAGCCGCGCCCTAGCCTGAGTCGAGTCCGGAACCCAGCGTCCGTTGCTATGGAGACTCCCGGGGAACCAGCGAAACAAGGGAATCCGTGGGCAGGGCCCGAGCAACGAGGGTGGGTGGAGGGGGGTGGGGAGGAAGTAGGGAGAAGGGGGAAGGAGAGGGGGAGGAGGGGGTAGGGAGGAGGTTGGGAAGAGGGCAGGGTGGGGGATGCGGAGGGAGAGAGGGAGGCGAAGGGGAGAGAGAAAGGAAAGAGGGGAGGTGTGGAGGGAAGGAAGAGGGGGAAGGAGTAAGGGGTGGAGGAAGAGATGGGGAGGGAGCACGAGCAGGAGGAGGGGTTGGGAAGTGGCGAGGGGGTGGGGCGCGCTCCGGAGCCACCTCGCCTCCCTTCCACGGTCCCGTCTGCCTCAAGGCTTCCCCACAAGGCGCCCACAGCCCGGAGGCGGCTGTGAGGTCCCAAAGGAAGCCTGCACCCCTGCAAATAACCCTTCAGCCTCCCGCCACGTCCCGGACCCCGCTCGCTTCCTCCTCTCCCCAGGCCCTGAGCTCAGCCTACCTCGCGGACCTGCGCGTTTGCCGGGGCTTGGATTCCCGAGCTTCTCACTTCCTCTGCGCGCCTCAGACCCGCAGCTCGGGGGCCTTGGCTTTCATGGCCTCCCAGCGCGTGCCACAGGTCCCCCTCAGGGAGGAGGAAAAACTGAACCCATCTAATAACTGCTCATGACAGAATGAGCCCAGTGATCCCGGAGCAAGGCCATCGTAAGAGGAGAGCAGGGGGCCTAATAAACGGCCCCCACCTGCCACAAACATAGGCGTTCCCGGCCAAAGTATTTCCTTGCAGAGATTAAACAGATTCCTATTGAATAAGGTCAGAATATAAACCGTTAGGTCTTAAACTATGCCGTCTAGTGTGGAATTCAATTTTACTGAGTTTTTACAGTAATAAGAGAACTTGAGAGTGAGACTGTTGTCATCTTTTGTTTTAAATTACGTATTACCCGTCGTCAACCGATAGGAGACACCTTTTCTAATATCAATATGTCATTGCCATTGTTTTTCTGTAAACACTGGCTAAATTTCTTTTAAAAATGTCATTGGTTTAGAACTGTCTATACTACATCTGCATTTCAATATATTATTTATAGAAAAATAATTTTTTTCTTCTTTTTTTTGGAGACAGAGTCTCGCTCTGTCGTCCAGTGGCGCCATCTTGGGATCTCGGCTTATTGCAACCTCTGCCTTCGGGGTTCAAGCAATTCTCCTGCCTCAGCCTCTCGAGTAGCTGGAACTAAAGGCACCTGCTGCCAGCCTGGCTAATTTTTTTTCCCCATTTGTTTATTTTATTGCATTTTAGGTTTTGGGGTACATGTGAAGAACATGCAAGATCGTTGCGTAGGTACACACGTGGCAGTGTGATTTGCTGCCTTCCTCCCCATCACCTATATCTGGCATCTCTCCCCTTGCTATCTCTCCCCAGCTCCCCACCCCCCACCGTCCCTCCCCTATTTCCCCCCAACTGACCCCAGTGTGTAGTGCTCCCCTCCCTGTGTCCATGTGTTCTCATTGCTCAACACCCTGGCTAATTTTTTAAATCTATTTTCAGTACAGTATAGACAGGGTTTTACTGCGTTGCCCAGGCTGGTCTCCAACTCCTGAGCTCAGGCAATCTGCCCACCTTGGCCTCCCAAAGTGCTAGGATTACAGGTGTGAGCCACCGCGCCCGGCCTATTCTCTCTTACAACAATAAGTGAAAAAGAAGTTAGTTGGATATTACAAGCTCAGAATAGGAAAAGAAAACTGTTTTCTTAGCATTATCACCACTCTTAATGTTTAAACACAAAGATAACCAATGCCAAAATCATCTTCTATGAAGACTTGTTTTTTGGGAGGGAGGTGAAGAGAGAAGAAAAAAGAGAGTTACTTTTACCCTATGGAGGTTTTTAATTTCAAAATCTAACTTCAGGTTTCTTTGGGGAATTTTAATTATATAATCAAAAGGTATTTTAAAAGAAAGAAATTTACATATCTACAATAATTTTCCTAAGTGATATTTTACCACAATGAATATACATGTTTTAAAATAAGATTAAAATTCCAAGTTAAAATTAAAAATCCTATCTGTTTAGAGCTGGGCCAAGACAGTGTAAAGAATATGACAAGCTGTTGGCTATTTTGCTAGTGCAATTATAAATGAATAGTTTGAAACTGAGGAGAGCGATCGCACAGAAGATTGCATGAGTCATTGGTCAGCTCTGTACAGCATTTGTTGACTGATATGGCCTGCATAGTTACACCATCCCACAAAAACATGCATTGAACAAAACATCTTTGTTTGAAACCTTGCTGTAGCATATCAAGGAGTTTCAGATTTCAGTGTCTAACAGACCAAACTATGATGATGATTGTTTTTGAAACCGTTAACTACATAATACTTCTCTTCTTGTCAGTTACCTGTATTTTATCTCACAGGTGTTCTGGCTTATAAAATTGTTTATTTCAGATCACATTCTCACCTATAGTAACTGGAGTTGGCGCGGTCAAAGCATTTGTCATATTAAATCCAGGTCTCTTTCATCACATGCTAAATTCATTGATGGTTTTTAGTGGAAAGCTCACGAACTCCGCAGTAAATACTAAATACATATAGGCTTTGAAACTTGACTCAGTTTAGAATGTTGGACAAGTAACTTAACATTTCAGAGCCTCTGTTTTCTCACAAGTAAAAACTGGATAATGAATGTTTCTCAAAGAAAAGTTGGGAGTAATCTATAAAGCAGAAAAACAGCACGTGCATGAGGCAACTGCAAGAGAAATACCAACTAGGTTTTTGAAGGACTTTTCCTTCTTCCTAAACCACAACTAGGGAAAACATTGTTTAAAGATTTCAACGTTTTGGCTGGAAGAGGTGGCTCACGCCTGTAACCCCAGCACTTTGGGAGGCTGAGGCAGGCAGATCACTTGAGGTCAGGAGTTAAAGACCAGCCTAGTCAACATGGTGAAACCATGTTTCTATTGAAAATACAAACATTAGCTGTGTGTGGTAGTGCACACAGCTACTTGGGAGGTTACTTGGGAGGCTGAGGCATGAGAATCACTTAAACCCAGGAGGAAGAGGTTGCAGTGAGTTGAGACTGCACCACTGCACTCCAGCCTGGGGAACAGAGTGAGACTCTGTCTCAAAAAAAAAATATATATATATTTTTCAATGTTTAAAAAATTACACATTTCATAATCTAAAATTGTTTTTACTTGTTAATAGGACTTCAGGCAGAATTTTAAAATTTAAAGTGCCTCTCTGACATACCACATGTATAAATAGTATATATATTTATATAAAAATATTGCCTACCAGTTATTAAAAGTGATAACATCTCAGATTAAGTAGCATGAGGATTTGATTAAGAGTCAAGTGCTGACTTGAAACATAGTAATTTATATATTCCAGTTGGATAGTATCAGTTCTATAGTCTAATAAGAGCCAAGAGGTTTCAGTTTAGGTTTGTAATTTAAATTCTTTCTACAGAGTCATCACATGTGAAGTGCTTATTTTTCTTTTATCACCAGCTATAATATATGATTATGTGGTGGAAGCTCTGTTATGTAAACTTGTTTTATGTCATGCTTCATCCATAACCAACGTTCTTAAATAAAGTCTTGGGAAAGGACATAGTGAAACTCTTAGCAGGACAATATTATGCTACTAAATCCTTTATGGAAAAACTCCTGAGATTAGATCATTTTAATGTCTTAAATTTTGCTGCTGTGAGAGAGCAAATCCACTCTGTGAAAGTCCATCAATAAGCATTTGTCACTCGACTAAAGCTGAAAACCAAGATGACAAGCCCAGGAGGGGGTTTGGGACAGGCGCAACTGTGGCTATGGAATTTGGATCCTTGCTGCCAAATGTCCGTGAGCACTGGAGTAAAAGATTTCCTCTATTTGGAGCTAGTTTAGATCATCACTGTTTAAAAGAGAGTAGCCCTGAGTGGGGCACATGCCTGCACAACACTTTAGAAGGCCGAGGTGGGCAGATCACTTGAATGCAGAAGTTCTAGGCCAGCTTGCGCAACAGTGAGACTCAGTCTCTACAAAAAATGGAAAAGAGAGAAAGAAATAGTAGTGAATGTGAAGAAAATGGCAGGGCTGGGTTGGGCCTGTAATCCCAGCACTTCCAGAGATCGAGGTAAGTGGATTGCTTGAGCCCAGGAGTTCAAGACTAGCCTGGGCATTGTAGGGAGACCCCATCTCTGCAAAAAAAAAAAAAAAAAAAAAAATTTTTAATTAGCGAAGCACCCAGAGTCCCAGCTACCCAAGAGGCTGTGGCAGGGGGATCACTTGAGCCTGGGAAGTCAAGGATGTAGTGATCTGTGTTTGTGCCACCGTATTCTAGCCTGGGTGACAGAGCGATAGCCCATCTCAAATAAATAAATAAACAACCAAACAAATGGCAGGGCTTAGCTATCTGCAGAAGTGAGCCCACCTGAGAAAGAATTGTAAACTTACTACTGAGGGAACTTTGGAAGATCTCCAGTCTGTTCAAATGACCAGAGTGGATCCTTGTGCCCAAAACAAAATCTAGGAAAACTGTAACTCACATGTTGGAATTTAGGCTGAGGCAGTTCATGACAAGTCAAAGTCTGGAGAATAATACAAGGGGAGCCAGCATATTTCATGCCATCTAAGATTGCATCCTTGAGGATGTGTCTTTATTTTCTGTGCCACTTAGAAAAAAACACTGCCAACTATGATTATAACTTGACACACCATGGATTGTATCATACACTCCAATTTCAAAAATTTACCACAATGATATACCAAAATTTCATGTTACAAATGTGAAAAACTGTCCGGGCTCACACTTGTAATACCAGAACTTTGGGAGGCCCAGGTGGGCAGATCACCTGAGGCCAGGAGTTTGAGACCAGCCTGGTCAACATGGCAAAACCCCATCTCTACTAAAAATACAAAAATTAGCCAGGTGTGGTGACATGCACCTGTTGTCCTAGCTACTTGGGATGCTGAGGCAGGAAAATCCCAG